CTATGGAGGGGGGGGGAAAACAAGAGCACCGAAGGTGTGAAAATGATTGGTAATCATCGAGCAGGGAGGGGCGATTCAAGGGGAAAAAATAAAGTTTTAGAAAAAGGACGAAAATCATAAAGGAGCTGAGGTCGAGGATTCACGAAGAGGACCAAAATTATGCCTGATGGGACAGTGATGTGACGGGGGGGCGGGTCCTGGACAGGGTGGAGGGGGCGGTCCTTACTTTTGCTCGGGGAGTTCCACAGGGTGGCAGAGGACTTGGACAGCCTCTTGCTAATTACCGAGTCGACGTGTTTCGGCAGGTTGACCGCAGACAAGGAGCACCTGCCTGCGGACCGGAGAGAGGGCGACACTGGTCACAGGGCGGCCGCGGCTCCCAGGGACGAGCCGAGCCAGCCCTGCCACGAGGCGAGAGGCAGGGGGCGCCAGCGAGGGGAGATCGGCCCCGCGAAAAAAGAAAGGGGGGCCAAGGCTTGGCATGTGACCACCACATGACCACAGCCTCCATGAGACACCATAACCCAACCACCACACCACAAAGAAAAGAAACCTAAGACACCCAAGACACTCCTGCCACGGTGCAATTGCACGGAGCATGCAGACACACACAAACACACACGGATCCCAGATTTTCCCACAATCCACCCACATGCATGTCAGTGTAGCCACTGAATGACTCATTTTATTTACAGTATTGTTATTGTTTACTGAAAACAGGAAATCCCCTTGGCACTGAAGAGGTGAATCTTTAGTGCTTTTTAAGTCACAAAACACTGGTATCACATGACTTTGGTGTGTAACGCTCCGCTCACAGATCCTAGACGCCAGTGACGTGTCAGGCGGTAAAGGTTGAACCTGTACTGCCACCTTGTGGTGAGAAACTGTATGGCAGACTGTTCTCCCACTCAGCAACATAAAGGAAAATGGAAGACAGGGGCTGAAACCACTGTTGGACATGACCATCGGAGGAAGACGCACACCGGGCTTGTATCGGCAGGACCGATGAAGATTTATCGGGCTGCTCCTGAAACTGAAGCACTGCCCTCCTCCAGCACAGCGAAACCATGTGACATGAGAGGCAGCAGCAGTGACGGGAGGGGGGCAAGGCGCGCGTGCCCCCACACAGAACATCGCCTCTGCTGCAGCCCAGCTAAGGAGATGGGCCTGTTATGCAATTCTACTGTCAATCAAATGCTCCCCACCAATCTGGGGACTCTGCGGCTGCATTACATGTCACTCTTTGCTGCAATACGTCTTGCCATAAGCTAGAGATGGACCACAATAAATCAATATACTTACAACAAAGGAAAAATGTGGGGGATCAGATTCCAGTAAAGACCACATTTGGATAAAATGATCACAAACGGCAGATACACTGAGCCATGATGTCAAAGATCTGAAAACGCAGGTACAAACACTCAGAGCTGGTACACTGTCACACACACACGCACACACACCTTCCCCAGAGCTGCTCACCACAAGCACATCGCCCATGTTGACAAACCCCCAGGGACAGGACCAGACACCAGTGCTATAAATTTAATTAGAGGCCCTGGAGAGGCAGGAAAGCAGCTAGAGAGCCCCCTCCCCCTGCACACAGCACCTGCCCCCACAGCGGCGCACTCACCCTCCCGCTGGCCGCCATTCCGGGTCAGGCCGCCCGCCCAGGACCAGCGCTGCTGCCGGATCTCGGTCCACGTCTTCTTGGAGGACCGCTGGACGGCAGCTTCGTATCGCTCCTGGAGGTCAACGTACAGAATTTTAGCACCTGAATGGACGCCAGTTTAGATCCGGGGACGGGCACCGCAGATATAAACCCCGACCTTCGAGACAAACTCAGTAACATCCCTTGCAGACGCATGCAGGCACGCACTGAGTCTGACCCCCACAGTATGCTATGGAAAATAACAAGGAGTGTTTGGAAATAGTTCAAACCGGGAAACAAAGGGGAAGTAGCCACATCCAGGGGAAACGAGGTGGAAGCGGAGGGGGGGGGGGGTCATCCTACAGGCTTCATTTATGCTGCCATGGAAACACCCACACACAAACACTAACATTAAACCCAACTGCTCACTGTAAAGTAAGTTCACCCCACAAGGATACCGCAGGGTTGGGACAGCCAGCCTCCACCCAAACCCAGGGACAGCCAGGCACTGCAGGGCCGGGACAGCCAGCCTCCACCCGAACCCAGGGACAGCCAGGCACTGCAGGGCTGGGACAGCCAGCCGCCACCGGAACCCAGGGACAGCCAGGCACTGCAGGACAGCACACCTCCAGCCAGCCCACCTTGTTCCTCTCCAGCTTCTGCCGCTGCCTTTCCTCCAGGGCGGCCCTGCGTCTCTCCGCCTTCATCCGCTGCTCCTCCAGCTTCCTGCGGCGCTCATCCAGCTGCCGCTCCCGCAGCTGCCGTGCCTTTTCCTCCTTCTCCAGCCACTGCGTCTTCTTGGCAGCTGTGGAATGCAGGGCCAGCAGGTTTACAGTGTGCCTCCCTTTCCTGACCTAAAGTGCCTCATTTCTACCAACATGGTGCCGGACCTGCCTTTATCCTAATTCAGAACTGGTTCCACGTGTTTCCACCGGAAAAAAAAGGCCTCGGGCTAGAAAAAATGGCTCCAGCAGCACTGCAAAAAAGCTGGTCTCAGAATTTGGAAGCATAAAATCAGTGAAAGTGGGACGGGTCCAAACCTTTGGCATACCCAGAAAACTCAGTCTATAGCTGATTTAGTTTTGTCTAATATTACTGGTTTCAGCAGTGAAAGAGCTAGCCATCTTATTAGTGGAATAATGTCATATTGCTTTTTGTTCTGTAAAAATACAAAAGATCGATTTGCTGGACAGATTTTATAAATTACAAACATGTCACAGATTGAATAAATAAAATATTGTGGTGCTTGAATAGTGAAGAGATCATGAGGCAGACAGCAAAGTTCAGTTTTCAAGCAGACTCTTCACAACAAGTGAGAATAAACTCACACGCACAGACTGGGGAGCCTTTTCAGAGACAAAAGTGCATACAGGCAATAGAGACATAGCTCATGTCATACGCTGAAAACTTGTTTCGGTTCGGCAACTTATAAAAACTTGAAATCTGAAACAGAACTTACTTTACTCTCAATTACGTAACATTCCCGTTCTGTTCTTTACTGAAACTGGTGGAAACGCGGGCAGGTTCTCAAAAGGCACCAAACGAGAACCAGCTCAGTGCCAGCAGCGGCACCAGCTCCGTGTTGGTGGAAACGAGGCACAGGAGTCTGAGCTCCCTCCTCGCAGACAATGGCAAACAACCTCAGACAGCCAGGCCTATTTATTAAAATCATACAGCCAGGAAAATATTCTATCTACCTATTGACCTGTGTGAGTCACCATGATTGAGCTGGGATTTTACAAAACAAAAATAAATAAGTGAAAAGTAAATTAAATAAGATTTAAACATCCAGCAGCCTGAACTGCTCCTGGTGACAAAAACAATTAAACCCCAATAAAATCCCTTCCCTTAAGTGGAGCCCATTAGGACCCTGCTGTGCCCCCCCCCCTCCCCCCCACCCCACCCCACTAAGCAAGCAAACTGCATGGCTTCCATTTTCAAGGCAGCTGGATACCTTGCTTGTTAACTGCTTCATTCAAGGGTACGAAAGCTGGGTGACCTGACACGGGTATGGCAGCAGGACCTTAACCACAACGCCACCTGCTGCTCAGTGACGATACACCAGCTAGTTTACTGCTTCACGTGATGCGATTGACCATTAGATAAATCCTCCTGAAAACCAGATAGACAAGCTTTTCCAGGCCATAAATCACTGTTTGCCTCAGACAAAGGCGGCACATTCCAGGCATATTCCTAGCAAATCTACCACATTCCTACCAGTGATGAGTGAAATTAAAATTTCCTCACACTAAGCATCATTACATCACTTCTGCCAATACCACCGGCACTAATGTATGCTATAGCACCACTGTAACTGGCGATCCCCCTTCTGCATCCGAACTGGAGCCCCCTGCAGGTAATACTATGATTCAGAGTGCTAGCTCTTCCTGGAGGAACCTTAATGTGCCGCTTTATCTCCCGACCACATTAAACATCCGATTCTAGCCATTGCTCACGGATTCTGTGACATCGGGAGCCGTGATCGATTCAGGAGATGTGGGGCCTAGGCGCCTTCCTCTGTTAAATGTCAAATGCAATTTCCAGTGGCCATAAATGACAGACACATGGGAACCAGCAGTGTGGCGAAACAGCATTACGCCACGTGGAACTCTGACATCACCATCACAACTGTCCGATATTTCCTGTCACCGGACCTCATCTGACAAAGCCATGCTGTGTGAGGAGAACTGTGTATGTACAGGAATAGTAAATTAACACTACTTTGGACCTCTGGTGTGACTTCAAGCACCAGTAACAGACGGCTGCTGGCCCAGTGATCAATATCTGCATTGTATCTCTGCAAACATCTAGTGTGTCAAAGTTTGGACTGGTTTTGACTACAGCTGCTGGGCTAAGAGGGCTGTGACAATGGACTGATAACAGTGTGGCAAGCAAAATTTGGGGGGGGGGTATAGTGATGACCATTGATCATCGCAAAGAGCCCTACTGTACAGGCATCAGATATCATCAGGCCTGGAGGGTGTAGCTTCATATTGACTCAAAGTGAGCCCCCCAGACTGGGAATAGCTTGGGGTGGGGTGGTCAATCTGTTTGGGGGGGGGGGGGGGGGGGGGGGGGGGGGGGGGGGGGGGGGTGAGGGTGAGGATTGTGAACTTGTCAGGGGAGAGCCTCTGCTAGCCAGAATTATGCCGATTCAAAAAACACCCCCAGGGAGAGTCACAACAATCATATGGGGATTGGGGGGGGGAGCATATGAATTCCTTTGCTTCCACTTTCTACTCCCATGGCCTGGTGAGGGGGGTAACCCTGATCATCTGGGGGCAGGGGTGGTGAACAGGCCAGGAAAATCCCCAAAGTTCACGTAAAAAATATGAAATCATTCCATCTGTCATAAACGATACTACATTTTACTTATTTAGCCGATGCTTTTATCCAAAGCAACATATACTTCTGTGGCCAATTGGGGATTAAGGGCCTTGCTCAGGGTCCCAACAGCAAAATCACTCTGCCAACCATGGGGTTCGAACCAACGACCTTCCTATCACTGGCACAGCGCCCTATCCCTGCTGAGCTGCATACTACCCCCCACCATACAGGGATGAACCAGTCCCAGCTCGGCACCCTCCTCCTCCATACCCCCCCCCACCCACCCCCCATTCTAAAGCAACAACTAAACCAGTGTTTCTCAAACCAGTGCTCGTGGACCCCCAAAAACAGCCCACGTTTTTGCTTCCTCCAGGCTCTCAGGGAATCGGGAGGGAGCAAAAACATGGAACGTCTGGCCGTCCCTGAGGACTGGTTTGAGAAACACTGAACCAAACAACCATTCCACACATTCGACCACAGATCTGGCATTCTTCTATGTGGCGAGTTCAATAACATCGATGGAAGTCGCCAGAGAAGCAGGAGAGACATGAGAGAGATGTTTTGATCTAATGAGACGGAGAGCTGGAGGGAATGGGTGCAGACCAAAATCGAAGCCTTAATCAGTGTTTTTGAGGTCAGGCGCAGCTTTCCCGTATCCTGAGCTAGTGATTACTGCCCGTCGTCACAACCACACAGGAGGCTGACCTCTTCCACAAGAATGTCAGCTGAAGGCCCGTTTGATTGAAAGCACCACCGATATCTGAGCCAGATTGTCTCTGCCCCCAAAATCAAGCCCTTCATCTAGATTTGAGATTTTGACTGCAGCAGAACGTAAGTTTCAGTACTGTCAATTAGATCACAGCTAGGAAGAGGGAGAGAAAAGAGGAGGAGTATGGGGTGATGAATGGAGAAGGGGGGCCACATCCCCAGGCATACGGAGAGAGAACGAGTCACAAGACGACATCACAGGCACCACCAACAGTGACACTACCCATGGTAAAGGCTTCTCTTACCTTGCATCTGGCTACGCTGCTCTGGGGGGGGGGGGGTGAAAGAAAAGATGAGAGCTGCTGTCAATCATGAAAAAGCGGCCCACCTCCCTCGGTTTGGCTACACAGCCGGGCGACACGGCACGGGAAATGCGGCACGGAACAGCACGTCTGGCGTACGGTAACGGTGACGCTTTATGAATAAACCCCATGTGAAGTCGGTCGACATGGTCGAGTCTCCTTCTTAAGTTAAACGGGACTTCGATTAACACAATCTGCAGGTAATGTGTGTCAACATTTAAATTCAGAAACAGACGTTTGTTAACCTGAAGTATCAATCACTGCAGTGATTCTTCTTCGCAATTACATAACAGAACATTTTGCAGAAAGCTTGAACTGGTCAAGGTCAATGCGAGCTGAAAAAATGTGAGGGCGAGTTCTATTCCCCACAGCATGGGGGCGCTCTTTAGCCTGATACCATGCCGGCTTACCCAGGTATTTGGCCCGCTCCTCCCTCCGTTCTTTCGCAAGCTTCTGTCTGTCTTCTGATTTCATGCCATCTGTGTTTGGGGGGGAGAGAGAGATTACATCTTGAGGATGAGATCCAGCACGTCTAATCAAATGGTGGTGGTGGTGGTGGTGGTGGTGGGGGGGGGGTGTGAACAACACAAGGCAAACAGTTCAAGGCTTCAATGCTTGTGGTGGTAATTATCCCACTTTTCCACACTGTCACAAGGAGGGAAAGCAGGTGGATACTGAGCAGGACTGCACTGCCATTTCCTTTCAAAAGAGAGGAAACCTTGGGGGTGCAGTGGGGGAAGGGGGGCGCAGAGGAGCCCTTTTCGGACAATGGGTAAGTGGGAACCCAAAACAGAGATGCAGCCTCCATATTGTCCGAATCTGACAGGCATTTAAGTGCCAGACCAATTCCTAATCAGACTGACGGCACGGAGATCTCAGATGCGAACCTCATTACCATGACTGGTGAGGGGTCTGAATGGCACAACGCTGCCCCAGCACCATGGATCGGGTCCAACACAGATTACATCACTTCCTGCAGCTTTTATCTTTGACTGAAAGATAGTTATGAGGAAAGCATCAGAATATTAGAAAGCCCGTAACCTAGGTGTCACCTTAAGTACAAGCATGTGGATGCAGTATCGAAGGTGTGCCTCCTACCCCCATTTTGTACAAACTGCCTTGGTTTCCGGTTCAGTATAGAATTTGTATTTGCACCCGAATATATTAATGGCCTCTTCCACTGCTACTAAGCTGGTCGGGCTAAGGGTCCCACGTACCCGGCTAAAGAACATGGGGATTGTGCCTTTCAGCCTGTCATAAGTCTCCCACTAGCGTTGTGTTCAGCTGAGTCAGGTGACTCGTTTAAAAAGCAACTGAAGACTTGGTTTAAAGCAGGCGATTGAATTGAGTTGAGTTGTCTTACTTGGATTCTGTCGTTTTCAGTGCTGTGTTTTTGTTTGCTTTTCCTTGATTTGTTATCTTGATGGTAAGTTTTAAGTATCTTAGTGCTGCACAGCGCTTTGTGACATTGTCTGTCCGTCATCAACCAACCACAGAGGAGACTGACTGACTTACAGCTACGTAACACTGCCAAAATATGATGACTGCATACTGTTCAATTCACTGAGAAACCGATACATGCCTCTGCACACTGTAAGTTAGACTACTGCAATGCTCTGTTATCTGGGAGCACACTGCACACTGTAAGTCAGACTACTGCAATGCTGTTATCTGGGAGCACACTGCACACTGTAAGTTAGACTACTGCAATGCTGTTATCTGGGAGCACACTGCACACTAAACACCTGGCAGCATATTCAAAATGTGACCAGGAGTTGTAACACATAACCCCTGGTCTTAGTCCCCTGCACTGGCTTCCTGTTAGGTTCAGAACTGACTTCAAAGTTCTCCTACTTGCATATAAGGCATTTAAAGGTCTAGCTCCTGCCAACCTGACAGAATTACTTCAAGCCACATCACCCACTCAGATAACATCATGCAGACTTCCTGGTTAATCCACATATAAATAAAGTCACAGTTGAAGGTAAAGCCTTCTGCTACAGGGCAACAATATGTGAAATAGTTTGGCAGTCTATGTTCGGGATGCCACGTCAGTCTCAGTCTTTAAATCTCAACCGAAGTAGCTTAGCCACAACCTAACACATAACACACCTTAACTATGGCTACTGGTGCTGTTGTTCATGCCATATTTATCTACGATGCTTGTCCATTTGTGTGTCAACACGCGTTCTGGCCATCTCTGCCTTCATTCCCAAGTGTCCGGATGGTGCCCGGGGAGGGAGAGCTGGAGTGCTGGTTCGGTCCCATGGGGGGGACATTGTGGATCTGACTTACAAACTGCAACATCATGGGTGCAGACTTCAATCTGCCCCCCTAAACAGGCCGTTGTGGAGAACAGACTCATTGATGGACTTTGGCTTTGCCCTTAATCACAGTTTACTACTTGCATTTAGCAAGCAAGCCAATTTTCTTCTTCTATAATGTTAGCATGCCTGGGGGGGGCAGTTGACCTTGGACCCCCAGAGGTTTCTTTCCCCCATACTTGGGAGTGTTTGGTTCCTCTCTTCCGATGTCATCAGGCTCTCTTTCTTTCTTTCTTTGTCTTCCCTTTTCCCTGTTTTTGTTTCATTCTGCCTTAATGATGCTGTAATGTATCACAACACACCCATGTAAGGTGCCTTGGGGAGACTTGGGGGTGGGAAAGGTGCTATATAAAAATGAATTTAATTGAATTAAATATTTTGCATGCAGTCATTGTCATCTCACGTTACACATAAATTTCATAGCTGGTCACCAGCGTCAGTTTAGTTTCCTACAGCATCATCCCCAGAAGTGCGACCTGTGACCTACATCCACATGTAACCACAGAGACCAACATTAGATCTGCTGCATTGACACGATCCACATCTGGATTCTGGAATATTCCATTCCCAGCACTTCAAACCCCTGCGGGGTAACTAAGCCGTGACAGCCAAGCGAGGTACCTGTACGTTACGGATGATGGACTGCAGCTCACTTAAAACATTTCTAGTGATCAAAAGATTATTAAGAAAGCAACCGTCTACTGTGATCACCAGAATAATCAGTCAAGACTGAAGAGCTATTCTCAGAACCTCAATTTGCAAACTCCACGATATTTTTACATTATTTTATAGCTTTTCAGGTGTTTTGAGGGTTAGCTTAAGAGGATATTTCCCTACCTGTTTGTGATTGAAACGGGTTTGCTGCATCACAGAGGCACACAGCCATTAGACAGACCGTCTCTGTTACACACACACACAAAAGCATTCTGCAGTGACACCAGGAGGACGTGCCAGGAGACTGTCTCCTTGGCAACCGGCTCCAGTCACCCTGCCCTGCAAACGTTCAGACTATGAGCATGTCAGACCTCTGGGCTGAGACACGGACTCAAAGGAGGCCAAGGAGAGAGTCGTGAGGCTTAGCAATTTACATACTCCCTCCATCTATTATCTAAAACTGCAATGTTTCCACCCACATTTCCCTGGGCAAAAACACAGCTGAAATACTTCAAATGAGTGCTGCTTTCTGCTTGTTCAACAGCTAATCCTTCAGGAACAAAATCCAGGGTCCTTAACGTTTGCATGTTTGTAATGCATCTCCTCCTCATTCATTGGGGCCTTAGAATCAGCAACAAACATACCCAAGAAAGCAGCCCCATTTAGCAGAGAAAAGCTGTGTACCCAGGACGTTACCACCAAGACTTACATCAGCGTCTTTCAACCCAGTCCGCAGGGACTCATGCACAGTCCACATTTTTATTCCCTCCCAGCTCCCAACACACCTGTGTTCTTTATTGTTTGGTTCAGGTGTGCTGGAGGCTGGGGGGAGCAAAAAGTGGGACCAGACTCAGAAGCACTGCCCTAATGAATGCCGAGACGAGGGTAGGATTCACCCGGCGCACCATTCCTCTACCGCTCACCTAGGGATCTAACTCGGTCACCATCCGCTCACCGCCCGCATCCTCACAGCGTGTTCCGGAGTGTTCTAGGATGAAACGAGCTTTCCAAGGGCATGTTAGGGCACCAAGCCGCTCAGCCTGCTACATTAATGACGTCTTCAAATTACGTTAAGCCTTAACTACAATTTCCTTCACATTAGGGCACAAAAAAAAATGTTCCTTGCTGAAAACATCTTTGGGCTGTAGAAGAAACTGGACCCATCAAAGCCTGCAAGGATGCAGAAACTGACCTCATCGACTATTAAAGACGCGGGCAGAGCATGATCTAGAGCATGAATAAGGCATGATAATCTCATTCCACATGTGCCTGAAGTTTGATGGTTTGTATGCCAGCGACACCTATTTTTATAGACTCTCCTCATCTAGATTCCTCCTGATAGTACATCTAGAATATAATAAATATATGCAACGCAAATATTTTTGGGGAAAAATGGGCACTGGTATTATATAATATGAGAAAAGTTGTGTACCTTTTTTGGGCTGAGGGCTTGCACTGGTCCCAGTAGCAAGGGATTTACTGGGGGTGCTGGATCTCCGGCCACTGTCCTTTTTCTTCTGGGAATCTCCCTTAGTGGGGGTCTCTGTCCTCGCTGGGGGCTCCGTATCTTGGGGCTTCCCTCCTGCTCCCATTCCGTCCTCGTCTTTGGGACTGGTTTCAGGAGCTGAGCTGGTGGCTGTGGGGAGGGGGGGGAGCAGAAAGAGGAGTGAAATTAAGCAAGACTGTTTTTTGGAATGTGTGACGGAGTCCTGCAAACGGCGTGTTTTCAGTTATCCGTCATGCATCCCGACACCCGAAGGCTAGAGACACTCCTCAGGTAGAGCGGCCAAATCATCAGGCGGCTTCCTGCCCCCACGGTGGCAGGGTGGTGCAGACTGCCTACAGCTTGACTCAGCTATACCTCCCCAGGTTCAGTCTTGCTTCACCGTAATAAGCAGCATTCTGACCTGCCTGACACTCCCAAGTAGCGACAAGTCCAGACGACTCAGCCTTGCACACAAAGACACCTTCGTCGGCTACGTGAATCACAAATCAAGATGCGGTTTCAGACATGACGAGTGCAGTCGGCTCTTTAACGTGATGAAAATGGGCTAAATGAATGGCTTCCGGGACAGACCTGACTGCTCACTGCCCTGCCTATTGATCTGGGCTGAGTCAAGGCATTTCAGCACTCTGGCTACAACTTACAAGATACAGACTGTTCCTTTGTGCTTCTGGCTATCTTACACGCCCCTAGAGTTACCTTCGAAATAGCAGAGTGGGATACTTTTTGTTGTACGAGTGTTCGGGCGAATCTTCTAGGCCAAACCGACACCGTGAATCCCAATCAAGACCCAAAGTTATGTTATGTTATCTACAGTGGACACTAGTGTGTTTCATGACAGGATACAGATAGACAGGGGAAGTGAAATGAAAAATGGGCTTATGGAGACTCCTGCAGCAAAGTTAAATGCTTGGGTAGACTTGTAGTCCCAAAGCAGGCTCTCACTGAATCCTGTAAGGTTTATATTTGGCTGGAAAACGCAGAGGGAAGGAGAGGAGCAGGAAGTCACAAGTCGCCTTCCCCAGATACAAGCCTGCCCTGGAAAATAGGTGCTATATTCTCGACATGCAGCATCTGCAGGCGAACCAGCCAACCCAGCGGGCACACTGACCAGAAACGCGCTGTTCAGCGGTAGATGGAGGACAGCAGGTTTTCAGGTTTCGATTTCCACAAACGCAGAGATGAAGGTCATGACTGCAGACCAGACAAGTCGCTAAAGCGGGTGGTCCAGTGCAGAGCAGGAACAGAGCACCCCCGACCGCGAGCCTGCCCCCCGCGATCCAGTGGGCGCTGGGTTAGGGATGGCTGCGACAGGGAAAGGCAGCGGGAGCCCAAAGTGCTGTCTCAGCTGTCAGCGGTACCATGGGGAGATGGAAGAGCACATTTCAGATCTGACAAAGTATCCCAGGCTGAAGGTTTGAGCCCCCGCTAGAGTGAAAATGAAAGCTTGACGCACCCTGCACTCAAAGTCAGCCGTCTCACTCCCCAACCCTCCACAGATGATGCAGGGAAGAAGAAAAAAAGCTTTCTTCCCCACTAAAGCAGGGGGAACATAGTCAATGCAGAGTGACTCATGCTTGGCAGCCCCATCTCCTCGCTCAGCTCCAAAATGAACTTCACCCCGGCTCTCCGTACACAACAGAACCCAGAGGAAACACTGGATCCGGGTCAAGCGACACAACCCCCGGCAGTTCAAATGCAAAATGCAGCCTTAACGCAGAATCTGAGCACACAGCATTAACACTGCTGGTTTGCCTGAAAATAAAGGCACCCCCCCCCACCCCCCACTGCCCCATTGTCACGACGGATGAAGAATTCAGCTCTGATCTCCCGTACACGTCGCTGCTGTTCAGCATTATGCTCAGAGTCAAGCACAATGCTATTATGTTGGAAATATCTGTTGTTCTAATCATCTGGAAATGGGTGTTAACCAAAAACAAAACCAGATCAGGGCCTTTGGGGGGGGGGGTCTGTTTTTGTGCAGACTTAACCCCCTAAGACAGTTTGTTTCTCAATCTGACTGCGGCATCTACAGGCTTTCCGCTCTAGTTAACTCCAGTTAACTTCAACCCTTCAAACAAGGCCAGTAAAATTAATTGCAAGTTTACTTGGAACAACATGGAGAAGTCAGCCCAGACTGGGTCAGGACCAGATAAAGATGCTTGGCGACTTTGTAGTGAACACACTATGTCTAGAAAATCACTGCCACACTTGAAAGAAGCTCACAGAAGGAAAGGAGATGATCCATGAAGATCTGGAGATGGAAACTGGAAGGGGAAGAGCAGGTAATCCACAGATATGACGATCTGCACAGGGCCGAGCTCTCGAAGCTCTCTGACCAACAGCGACGACGGCGAGCCGCCGAGACCCACAGATACCATGGAGAACTTTATGGCCGCCCCCCGTGCTGTAAGGCCTGCCACCCAGACAGCCAGTCTGATCCCTCTCTGTTTACTGCATATTTGTGCTGTTGCACTCGGTGTGTGGTAGACATTTCAAACTCAGAAAGTACCCTGGAATTCCCCAGTGGTGCTTTGCTGCATAATCCACAGACAGACGACACCGTTCACAAAGCAGAGGACTGGCTGTGCTTATGAACATGACTGCTCTGTTTTTGGGGGGGGTGGGGAGGGCACAGCCGGATCGCCATGCCACATGGCTCTGGGCTCCTGACCCCCTTCCCCACTGCCAGCCACCCACTCTGCCTCCGCGTTGCTTCCATTCTGACGCTGAAGTTCATGCCTTTTGTCTTCATCCCACCTTCCTTCTGCTACGCTACTGAGGTCCACATCCCTTCCTCCACATCCCTTCCTCCACATCCCTTCCTCCAGTTCACCCGTCACCTGGCTCTGCTCACTGTCCCATCCGGGGGAAACCCAGCGAGGCTGAAGTCCTCCTCAGAAATCAGACAAGCGGCTTGGCGGCTGAAGATTTTCACCATGATGACAGCGGTTTGGGGGGGGGAGGGGGGCTGCAGGTACCGGCAAAGCTGTGGAATGCGACGGCTTTCCAGCCGCGCTCAGAACCAGCAGCCAGTAAACCTGCACCAGTAAACAGTGGGAAGTCAGGCTCTCGTTACGGAGGGGGCCAGTTACCAAGCAGGAGGAGCACGACGCCATGCCTAAAAACCATCAGTAACCCCCCCGTCCCCCCCTAAGCACGAGACAGATTCCATCCTGAATTCTGGCCCCTCCGACAGACCAACAGGCTCTGCCCTCCTCCCCAGCTTCAGTCCGGGGGGCACCCTGGCTCTGAGGGTGGGGGCAGCCGTCCACCCATTATCTGCAAGCATCCGGGGGCACAGGGCTGCAGGAACGAGCACGATCTGTCAGAAGATGGGAGACGCAGTGTCTCCACATCGCAGCCGTGGGGCCAGTGTGCTGGGCTGTTAGTGACGAGAGAGACTGTCTCATCAGGCGGCTTTAAAATGTTTACATTCATGCTGCGATCCGTACTGTCAAATCCCTCACATACTGAATATTTTGGCTTCACTAGTGAGAGACTGAAGACTTCAGACACGCTAAAGAACATTTCACTGCTCAGGCGGGGACACACGCGTTAAAGCGGACACACACACACACACACTAAAGCGGGGACACGCGAGTTTTGCGTATGATTGTGTCACATGGTGTGGGGGGGGGGGAGGGTTGGCAGTCTCAGACTGTCTGTCCTATTATAGGAGCAGACAGTGGCGGAGGGGAGCAGTAAGGGGGTCAGTCGTGCTGCAGGAATCCCTGGCATGCGTGTCACTCACGGGGAAGACCCTACCCCACTGTCAGCCCTCAGAGATGGGGACACAGGAAGCGACCTGTCCGGGGTCCCACTGCACGCCAACCGTGTGACGTCACACTCCATGACCGATGAACAAACCGCGGCCAGCCAGCCAGGCTGCACCTCAGAAACGTGTCTTCGATAGGCTGGGGGGGCAGAGCAGCTGTTCGCTACAACCGCGCTGCAACACAACCCCAACCCCCCCCCATCCCCCATACCTCTGATGGGATGGGCAAGGGGAGAGACGAGTTCCAGGGAAATAAATATTTACAGAGGATGCTGGAACATCTTCAGCACATCCCTCCCCAGGAGCAATGAAGGCAATATAATAGCATACTGCTCGTCTCATCCACTGGGGGACACGAGAATTCTGGGTAATCTGGAGGTAGGGTAGGAGTGAGGGGATTCTGAGAGGGTGGGTGCGGTGTTTACTTTGGCAAGAAGATCCCCTAAGGTACACGGTGCATCCTAGAGGAACCATTTAAGCGTTTCCCGGCAGAGCAGTCAGATTATTACCCCAGAACCCCTCTCTTATTTAAGGAACAGTCGCCACAAGTCCCTAGCGAAGACTCCACTTCCGCTACGGCTTACGCTGGCATCAGACCTGGAACGTTCCACAGCCAAGTCCACCGCAGCAATGGTTTAAACTCCCTGAGCACTTTGTTGCCCCAACGCGGCATGAGTCCCTGTCTGCACGCTTTGCACGATGCAACAGAACACCCCCCCCCACACACACACGCACGCGGCTGCAGAGACTCTTTATCCATGAGGACAAAACAGGCGGCTGTTTATTCTATCAGCCCCCCCGTTTATGCACGACAGCTGGCAAAACAGGAAGCCCCCTGTCTGAAGCAGTCCCGCTCTCCGCTTACTTCGCCCGGCCTGTTACGTTAAAAAAATGGCTTCAAAGAAGAGCTTCGCAGAAGCAGACAGGCTGAGTGCACGCAGCAGGCGAGGGAGGGGGGCAGAGGGGCACACCAGTCACCCGGTGCATGGAACCTGTGCCATCTCAGGTAGGAAAAGCGCCAGCGAACGAAGGGGAACAATGCGATTCCAGCTAAGGATCCACGACCACACCGTGACCACGAACCAGACTCCAAAGTCAAAGTATCATTTATAGTCAGCTTTAGACACTGAGCTGAAATATCATTCTCATTGGTTGTAGCACAAATCAGAAGTAATAAATAAATAGAATATAAATATTAAGACATATAAACGTAATACAGACGAGACAAAGACACATTTGACCACCTGATTGGTGGGGAAGATTGGTGTTGAAGCAGAACGTGCAATAAATAGATTTGAAGAGTGAAGAGTGATCTTCAGAGACTTAGGTTGCGGGGGGGGCAAAGCTATTCAGC